AAAACTAAAAAAATAACAAAAAATAAAAAACAAAATAATTATCAGACGGTTCCTCAGAGAATTGAAAAGAATAATTCTAGGTTTAAATTTAAAAAAAATTACATTTTTAACTTATAATTGTGCTAAATAGGTACATGTTTTGAAAGAGGACTATGAAATAGGGACCTCTAACATAGCATTTTGCTTTCGATCTTTCTTTACAATCTCTTGGCAGCTGCAGTAACGACCTGAAAACCAAGAACTGGCACTGTTTCATCTAGTTTCGAATCTTTCGACGCGCGATCTGCCATTGTAGGCCTGCACCTCCTCTTCTATCTCATTCTGTTTGTTAAACAGAAAGAACAGTTGAACTCAATCAAGTTTGTTCTTGTTTCTGATGAAATGTGTACTTGTAGCTATCCTCATCCGCGAAACCAATACTCGGATCATTCCCTTCCCTAATCACCTTCCTAACATCCTCAATCCTCTCAAGAATTCCCTTGATAGACAAATCGAATGCATCTTCGGTCTCTAATCTAGACCTGGGATCCGCGTATGACAGATTCGGAATGAGCCTAATAACCTCTTCTCTCATGGCCAATTCCTTATCCTTTGAAATTCCAAGCAAGATTTCCTCAATGCTGCCTGGCATATCATCCGCAATCCTCACCGGAATGTACACCGAGTAGCTGCTATGATTCTTCGGCAAATGCCACAAATACTGGGAATAAGCGGCACCCGGGTGAAAGAAAACCGGAATACAACCAGCCAGAATGGAATCAAAAGTTGATCTCCTGGTGTATGAATCTCCTCCGGGCTGCAGGCAATAAACCGAGCTCTGAAACACTCTCATAACACTCGACGGGTTGTCACAATCCATGTTACCGCCCAAACTGCAATCGATTAACTTGCATTTACTCGAAGCTACGCACTGATCGATAATCTTCCCCCGAATCGAACTCTGCTGGTCAGGCCTCGGTGCCCCAGCAAAAGTGAACAAGTAAGGCCTGTCTAGCTTCCTCATTCTGTTCTGCCATTGAACCAAATCGACCTCCTCCGCGGGATGAAAATTTGTCGGGTAAGGTATAGCAAGGTCATTGTTCCAAGAGCTCCCTTCGACCGACAACATAGTCATGTTCATAGACTCTGGCAACCACCTGAGCTTACTACCCCAATCCGAAACCTCATCCGTCTGCCTCCTGAAGTCCCAAGAAATTCTCCCGGCAACCAAGAAATGGTCCCTCCCCCACATTTTCGCCCACTCGGGTTTTCTCGCAAGCCAACTCACAAGTTCTTTCGCCGAGGCATCTCTAACCGTAAGATTGGAGTCCCAGAGATGGAGGCTCGCATCAAGGCCGGCGTAAAACGGGACATAAACGGCCGAAGCCTGACTGGAGATGTTTGTCAAACACTTATAGCGCTTCATCTTGTTGTGGAAAATGAACTCCAGCAAGAACTGGTTCGTGGAAAACCAGCTCCCGTTCGACAAAACCCCTTCCGAGTTTTGGATTTCGGGACCGAAACCATAATTCTCAAAGTACATACATAAATTTGGCTTGTCAGTTCCTCTGGTGAGAAACCTACAGTTTCTTACCAAGTCGGAGTTGAATTTTTCAGGAAGATCGTCGTGCATATAAACGTAACGACCAAAACATGATGAATCTGTGATAGAGTTGCTCAAAACCCCAATTGGGTCGACTTTTTTGTTGAGCAAAATATTGAGACCAGAGAAAGTAGAGTAATCGAAGGAAAGAAATATAATGCACAAAGCGGAGGAGATGAGAAGGGCAAACCAGAGTTCTTGAGAGCACTTTACTGTCGGTAGCTTCTCCATTGGTGTTTGCTGCTGAGGACAAAAAATCCGAAGCCACTCATAGCAGAGGAAAGAGATTATGAGAGTTTGTGTCAGAAAATGAGAGATTTTTCAGTGTGATCGGTACACAAGTTGTTACACCACGTGTTCTTATACAAATGGTGAAATATGTGTGTTAAAAAATTAATAACTTTAAAAACAAAATTTACCACTACTTATATAAAAATATACAGTGTATCACTTGTATTTTGATCATAATGAAAAATTTATTGAGAAGAAGGTAGAAAAATGGAAATAAATTAAAAGAAAGGCCCCCACTGCATGAGTAACGTGAAATGCAGGACAGGATGCGTATTGATAGGGCCAATGTTGGCGCTGATGCAAGTACAAAATTAACTTTAAAGAACATTGTTTCCTTTCTAAGTGGTGGTGATGATGGTGGTGGTGGTTGGACGATGACAAATGAATTGTGGAATGATAATTGTTGGGTTTTTCTTTGGTAGTCCAGCTTATTAAGTAATCTTACTTTAAAATAATCTTCACTTTTTGATTTCTTAGAGTCAACTGTTCAAATTCTTAGAGTTAATATTTACTATTCATTTCCCGAACTACGTAGTAATTCCAAACTATCGAAGAAAAAAAAATGAAAAATTGCTTTTTATTTTGATGAAAATTCTATATGAAGTTGTGGAGTACAAAATACTTGGAATATGGTACAACATCATGATTTTTTTTAGCTGAAGCCGAGGCATCTCACACCGTGAAGAGTAGACTAATCCCCATTGGGGCTCAAAAAGGCTAAAGGCACCGTAGCCCACCTTGACCACTTTCGGACGACACGCGCCATTTTAAAGCTTTCAACCAAGAAATCATCTATATTTTTGTAAGCTCATGTCTTGAATCCAAAGCCAGAAAGCAAAGTTGACTAGAAATTTTACTGCATTTTAACTGAACCACTTGGCATTGTTAAAAGATCCATGATTTTGGTGTTGGAGATGTGCAATAAGGGTATTACCGAGGGAGGGACCTCGGTTAGTTTGTCGGGGGTTTTGAAGTGCGCGGACGTTGCACGTAAAACGTGTGACACCGATACTGAGTAGTAGCTGAAGATGAGGATGAATTATGGGATTATTTTAAGTCACGGGGTCAAAATTCAAAAGGAAAACTAATGAAAAAGGTTTGAAAATTTTGAGTTTCAATGATAAAGATAAAATAAAAGGTAAAGTGAATAGTACCAAGATTGACTTTTTAGTGTAAAAATTTGATTTTTCGTTAAACTGAACAGTACCGTAAAATTTTCATTAAAACTCCCAAATTCAAATGATATCATTCATTCATTACACTAAAAAAACAATACGCATTGCAAAATATTCATTACGTGCTTATGGAGTGGTGCACTAGTGAGACCCTTTCTCTTTTAGCCAACAAAATAATAAAGAACCCAAAAAAGGCAAAAGCAAAAGGCAAATTTGGCAAAGGCAAAGTCCATGTAATTATTTTCTATTTGTTTTGTTTTCTCTCATAAAAAATAAAAAAAATAAAAAATCTTCTTTGCTTGATCTCATGCACCTTCATTCTCGCTCTTGTTTCTAGTTTTTCTAACTCATCACTTTTCTCATTCCAGGTAAATGATCATGTCATCAAACTAAAAAAAAAAAAAGCTATCTAAATACGAGAGAGAGCGCATCTATATATATCCATTCAAATTAGTATTTTTTTTGTTTTGTTTTGCAAGTTGATTTTTTTTTTTTTTTCAAAAAAAGAAGACAACTGATGACAAGTCACGATTATTCATCACTTCCAATGACCAGAAATACTTACAGAGGCATTTTAGCCTTATTCTGACCAAAATTCAGGCTTTCACACCAGCAACGAGTTTTAAATCCGAGATCTTTAGATTTTAATTTTAAAAAAGTCTCGTAATTTATTCTTTAGCATTGAATCATCCGATCAAATTGATATTTTGAATTACACCAATTTATGAGAAATTAGATTATTGTGTAGAGGGTTTTCAGCGGTACAATTCCCTTTTGATTTGACGTGAAATTGTTGAACGCGTGACGCTTTTTGTTCTATCTCGAGGCCATGAGATTTTCTTTGAAATTATATTTTACCGAGCCCCACTAGGTCCACTGCGTCAATGCACAAGTCCTATCTCGCTGTAGATGATTTGTTTGGAAAGAAGAGTGAAGTTTTACAGGTTTCTATTGTTTATGTGTGCCGACACTTTGAGTTGGGACCCACTAACGCCTTGAATGGCGAAGTTTGAGATTTAGGCTAACCCAGATTACGCCTTTGATCGAGGTTTCGTATTCCACAAAATTTCCAATACATATGGACCGAATCAATACGTATTTTTGGACTGCGAAATGACATATCAGGAACTGTTTGCTAATTATTTCGTTTTTAATTTTTAGTTTTTACTTTTCAATTTTTACAAACTGAAATAATGTTATTTAGTAACTACTTTTAATTTTCAGCTTAAAAAAAAAAATGAAAACTGAAAATCAAGACCAAAATTTGAAAACTCAAGAATGTGGCCTTTACTACAGTGGTGGAAAGATGTCGAGGCATTGCATGATAGCATGGGTTCAAATCCCGTCGGTGACTAATCTAACAAAATCTATCGTTTGACAAAAAAAAAAAAAATAGTTTTCAATTTTCAAAAGAGTGAAAACAAAAAATGAAAATGAATTGGTTATTAAACGGCCCCTTAGCTTAAGAAACTTTTGTTTCACCATACCATTCATTATGGACTTGTGAAGTTACTTTTGATTCATGTCAACACTAAGATAGTGGTCAAATCATCAAAACAAATTTGAGCATAGCTAATTTGTTTAGAGCACTGTACACTTTCTTCTAAACTCAAAATCAAAGTCTCTCTTGTAGTTTAGATTAAATTATTGCTCGAATAAAAAAAAAATTTGTTGTTAGCACTAGAAAAATCTCAATGTGCAATCTTCTATATTTAAAAAAAAAAAAATTCTTATGAGGAATATATAAAAAAATATTTGGAGCATAGGATAAATGCTTTATAAGTATCTATTTAAAAAAATAAAAATATCAAATTTTGAAAGAAGATTAGCCGACGCTTCGCTAAGACAGTCCACAATCTTAGAGAATAAAAATAATTTTAGACCGTAATATCAAATGACTGAGCTACAAAGAAGTTATAAGTACTCTTATGATAATGCCAAAATATTAATGCAAAATCAGATGAAGGGAAAACTTGTAATTTGGGCCTGGGCTTGCATTACATTGATAAAATAAGAAAACCCAAAAACCTTGTAGCCAAGACATACAAAAACCCAAAACCCTCCAAAAGCTCAGAGGAGCAGAGAGCAGGCAGCAATGGAGTCTGAGGTGAGTTTCTCTTCTGCCCTATTAGCCTATTCCTTCCCTTATACTGATTCCCCAATTACGAAATCTCAATCTTTTGCTGAATCTTCATTTCCGCGTTTCTCAGAAACCAAGTTTCGAACCGTTTCGGCTGTTTTCATCGCCACGGTCGGGGTTTCTTGAACAATCAGAGCCCCCTCTTCCTCCGCCACCTCCTTCCGTCCAAGTGTTTCCCTCCGAGGTGTTAATTAGTTAATTACTGCTTATTAATTTATTTTGATTAAGAATTAATTAGTGTAATTTGTAGTTTTAAACACACAAATGATTGATTTAATGTGGAATAGGTTTCTTCGTCTGTGAAGTACACCGTGGAGCCGGTGGAGTTGGGCGGACTTACTTTGCTCAAGGTCACTTTTTTTTTTCCATTTTCTTTCTGTTTCTGTTTGGTTTCTCAGAAAATGGAGCAATTTACCCTTCAATCTTTTCTCCAAAAAAAGAAGAAGCTGATTTTAGTATAAATTGGTAGTTTCTGAAGTTAAGTTTGATTTGAGTGTAACTTAGTGGTCGTGCGTGATTTGATTGCAGGGCCGGGTTAGTACTCAAGACGTTTTCACGCTATCCAACTCCGATTTAGTTCCTGGGAAATATGAAGGTTGTACATTTCTTCCATCTTCATTTGTTTTGTTAGTAGTCATTCAATAATTAAAATGATGTTTAATTGAGCTTATTGTATTCTTTTTTAAAAATTGTGTCTTTTATTGTATTCTTATTTGTGATGTTATGTATTTGGTTTTGGCGGGTTGTAGGGGGATTAAAGCTGTGGGAAGGTTCTCTTGATCTAGTTAAAGCTCTACGCTCTGAAGTTCAAAATGGACATTTATCATTTGCCGGTAAACGCGTTTTAGAGGTGGGCATCCTAATATTTTCAGGTGAATGCATACTGTCTCACAATTCCTTCACCTGTTAACATTTCAGATCCTAACATTTCACCTGCTAGTTTAGTTCATATGATTCCTGCCTGGTAGTCTAATTCTCGAGTGTAACTTGTATTAGTAATCAGTTCATAATGGTGCTTTTGTGAAATGAGACATACTAGCTTCTTTACCTTGAAATGTATTATATCCTTACAAGCAGAAACTAGTTTTGTTTCTGGTTGCATCCTGCTCGCTTTGTTCAGCTTGTGGGTTTCCCCACTAAGTGTTAATTCCATTAATCTCATGTTCATACATCATGCAGGGAAACTCTTCAACTTTCTAGATGGCTAGTTCAAATTTTTAGGCTCTAATATAATAGCTTGGAAGTGGAGAATTTCAACACAATTCCTAATGAACTGCACTTTTGTTGCAATACTTTAACTAACCAAGGGTTTAATTAGAATAGTAACCCTGAGTTTACACTCTCTAGAAATAGATTGAAGTTATTTTTTTCTTGGAGTCTTACTTGCGACAATAAGTACATCGCTTCACATCTGCACAATCATGGAATTAAGTGTTCACTGGTGCCCCTTGACATGGAATAAATTAAACTGCTATCGTTGATCATTAACCAACAAAGAAAATCATTAAGCACTACTACAGGTGATTATCTATGCTGACTGATTTCCTGGTTGTCATAGAAGTTGAGGCCACCGCCATGTATCTCCTTCTCCCATTTCTTACTATGCCTCACCCTGTTTCCTGTCATGTTTTTCAGCTTGGTTGTGGCCATGGACTTCCCGGTATCTTTGCCAGCCTTGAGGTGAAATTGTGTTTCATAAGCTTCTCAATTTAGTGTTGTAGATTAGATTTCTTAATATTCTTCATTATCGCCCATCAGGGTGCAGCTGCCATTCATTTCCAGGACTTCAATGCGGAGGTCCTGCGGTGCCTCACCATTCCCAATGTAAATTCAAATATTCCAAACTTCCAACCCCCATCAGTGCAAGTGACAAAGTCTAATGTGGGGGCCGAAATTGGTTTTTTTGCTGGTGACTGGCGTGAAATGCATAAACTTCTTCCTTACGCACAAAACGACGAGAGGGATCTTAATGTTAGTTCAGAGCAAAGTTTAGATGCTCAGTATGATATTATTTTAATGGCGGAGACAGTTTACTCAATTTCTACCCTCCCACATCTATATGAACTCATAAAAAAGGTATTCTCTTATTGATCTGTCATTATTTATGATTTTGGACTGCGAACTTGGAGCGGCTTTAAGTGTAATAATGTTTATTTTACAGTGCTTAACTCCTTCTCATGGAGTAGTCTACATGGCCGCAAAGAAGCATTATTTTGGAGTAGGCGGGGGAACTCGGAGGTTCCTATCTGTGGTCGAGAAAGATGGTGAGCTAGTTTTAATTATTTTTATAAAATTACTGAGGAATTATATCACAGTAGAAGTTTTTGTTTCTTATTTCTTGCCTACCCTATTCCTTGGGTTGATGGGATTGTGCGAAATGCGATAAGAACAAGTTGCAGAATATGTTTGTTCTATGAATATGTGTTTCAGAGGCCTCAAAGTTGCGACAATGGTGTTATCGACTGTTATGAAGTTATGTTTAGTATTTACTTATGCTTCAGTAAGAAATTTAAACACATTTTCTTGGAATTCCTTTCTGCAGGGGTGTTGGCTTCTAGCTTGGTTGCTGAAGTTGCAGATGGTTCTTCTAATGTCCGAGAGGTATGGAAGCTTTCGTTTAAGTAGGCGTCGAATTCATGTTGACCAAACAGTTGTACCTTACCCTATGTTGCCCGGAAGAATTTCATCGGACGTCATGTGAGTTATTGTATGCAGTCACCACCACTATCAACAGTCCCACCACTATGGCCGCCATTAACATCACTGACGCCACCAACCTTGCCACCACTATCATGGATTGTCGCCATTTTAGAATTCCTCGACATGCTTAAATTTCCTAATATAGATGGTGGGTAAAAGGATTTTTATTTTGAAAAGTTATCATGCAATCTTATCTAGTATATCATAGTAAAGAAATGCATGATGACAATTTCGAAGTGATGCCTATAACCCTTATCTACGAGGAGTGTGCTACATCGATATGAAGCTTTATTCTTTAAACTATGGGATGAGTTTATTGAACACTTGAAGCAAAAACAAGAAGAATCATTGAAAACTCAAGGGAAATAGCTTCAGATAGAAGTGTTGTACCTATATAGATAGGGGGGATCTATGGCACCAATTTTTTTTACAATTTTTGACACATTTTTTGCAGGGTTTACTCCGTAATGTATTTTAACGATCTGAACCGTTTATCTTTTAAAACATCATTCATAGATCATCTTCACAAAATATTGGACAAATCTAAAACCATAGTGAAGAAAATAGACTAGTACGGTTCTACAAAGAAACTCTAAACCCTTAATATCATAAGGTTTGAGATTTGAGTTATTTTGGTAGGCATACTTCTGAGGAAAGACTTAAAAGATGGACGGTTCGAATCGTTCAAATATACTACAAAGCTAGCCCCATAAAAAGCGCATGTCAAAAGACGGTTCGAACTTGCTCATGTCCTCCGTGATCACGAGTCCGACCTACAACGATAATACTTAGAACAACCTCTTTGATAAGGCTGAGACGGAGGAGGAAGACAGCCTCCTGTTTTACTACACGCTTCACATCTACCACTGCCGTTGCAAAGATAAGATTAGACAAATCTAAAACCATAGCGAAGAAAATAAACTAGTACAGGTTCTACAAAGAAATCCTAAACCCTGAATGGTCATGGTGTGATGTTTGAGTTATTTTGGTAGACATACCTTTGAGGAAAGACTTAATAGATAGATGATTCGGATCGTAGAAATATATTACAAAGCCGGCCTCATTAAAAACGTATGTCAAAAGTTTTGTAAAAAAAGGTGACGCCAGTAGATCGCCCCTATGTATCAAAACCAAATAAAAATTCGAACTTGCTCATGTCCTCCGTGATCACGAGTCCGACCTACAACGATAATACTTAGAACAACCTCTTTTATAAGGGTGAGACGGAGGAGGAAGACAGCCTCCTGTTTTACTATACGCTTCACCTCTACCGCCGCCTTTGCAAACTGGTTGGTCTGGCTTCAAAGCCCCAGGCGATATGTACTTCTTCGTCTGAAGAAACCTACGACTTATCTCCGACTCCATCAGCAGCTCGCTTTCGTTGTCGCACTCCGCTATCGAACCGTTGCACGATGTGGACGAAGGGCTCGTTCCCGAGGCAGTTGTGCAGGTGAGGTAGCAAAGGCCGATGATTAGCAGAAGGAACACTCTGTTAGGCCTCTGCATTTTGTGCTTGGGTTATATTTTCTTCACGCTTTGAACAACTTTGTAGGGGGTCATGTAATATTTATCTTTTAAAATTGCTTATGAGAAGATGGTAGTGGGATGCGCACTTCACCAAACCTGTAAATATAGTCCGGCGGCAGCCATGTATTTTATTTTCCACGTGTTACTGATTCTCGACCATACCTTCAATGGATAAAAAAATGAAAAAGGAGGCTAAAGTCTTGGCTAATAATTTGGTTACTGAAATTAGGGGCCCTCCCTCATATGGACCGCCAACTTTGTGTTGAAAAAAACCGTTTTTTGATAAGTGTATTCTTGACTTGTAAGCGGAAAACAACTCATGTAAATACAGAGTTTGATAATAAATTATTGAGAAATATTGTGTTATAGGGACTTTAAGGTTTGACTCTGTATGGACTATTTGTCACCTAACTTTTTAACGTCAATTCTCGTGTCAAACGTTAAAAAATATTATGTTAACAACATAAGGTTGCAGATGGTCGAGAACCCTACTTTAGTAAGATCACGACTTTGAAAATAATTTTCATTTTTCAAATACAGAAACAAGTATAAAATGCATTTGTTACCATCTTTAAAAATGAAATAAATTTAAAAAATGAAAACCACAAGAGATGGACACAAAAACCAGTAACCTATGTTTTTAAAAAATAGTGAAATTGATGTTTTTGGTGTTTCTCAATATTATATACAATCCCAAAAAATAGATAAAATCAATCATTCTCCCGCCACCTTCATCATTGGCATCACCACCACTCTCACCAACATTGTCACTAGCTCTCCCTTGCCACTAGAATGGCCGTCGCCAACACTCTTGCCACCATTACCATTGCCACCACCATCACCATATCCACTAAATTTTTACCGATATTACTATTTTCATATATTTTTACCAAACAAGTATTTATCATTTTGTTTTTTCAAATCTTCTAGGATTAAGGCTTGTTTGGTAACATTTGCACTGAAATTTCATTTTACAAATACCAAAATGTGTTAAATGCATTTGGTAGGTTTCTTTTAAAGGAGAAACTCCAAAAATGAAAAATAAAAATTACAATATTTAACCTATGGTCTATAAAACGTCAAATTGATGTTTCATGTGTTTCACTTTCCCATGAACACAACCCACAAAAATAGAGAACACAACATAGGTATAGAACAAAGTTAGAGTTTTGAGAAAGAAAGTGATCAGGTATGTCACCATGGTCATCAAAACCAGCATCCCATCCACAATTGTCGTTGCCGCCAGAGTCTCTGCCACTACCACCACCTCTCTCCACCATGGCTGTCACTAGCACCAGCACCACCAGATACTTCATTGCCACCACCCGCCACCACAACCTTCACCGCCTATGCCACCACCACCTCTACTTCCGCAACTTCATATTCTACGTCTCCAATCCCAATATCTCTACCTGGTTTATGTTAAACTTTCTGAAACAACTATCTCCCTTGGGAAAGTTGGGTTAAGCCTTTTCTGATTGGCCAAAACTTTTGCCGTTTTGTCTATAGAACTCATCTATGTCCTCCTCCTCCTATCACCAGCACTGCGCCTGCTGCCTCTCATGCTGCTTTTGTTGAGTATAATGTTGTTTCTATAGTGGTTCCTCTTGTGGTCACTACGACTCCTAATCCCGACTACCTTGTGTGGTACCAAACTGATCAGACACTTGTGAGCATGTTGCGTGTTACTCTTACTGATATCGTTCTTTCTTTTATTGTTGGGATTTCTACTTCTCGTGAGATTTGAGAGCATCTTCGTCAGAAATTTTTCTCAACAATCCCTTGCCAATTCTACCCATAATGGGTTTCAGTTGCTTTCTCTTCAGAAAGGGAATAAAACGATTTCGAAATACAAGGGTCTGACCAAGCATTTGGCAGATCAGTTGGCTTCCATTGGTCAACCTGTTCAGAATGAAGATCTGGCGATGTATATGCTTAACGGTTTGGGGCCTGAGTGGCACTGACCAACCTTCCACCTTTGCTGTCGTTTAATGATTTGCGTACTCGTCTCCTGGTCTTTGAATCCAAGCACACTATGTATCAGGCTGCTGCTTCGTCTCCTTTTGCTTTCTATTCTACCCGTAATTCTGTTGGTGGTTCGTCTAATGGACGTGATGATCAGTCTTCTCGACACAATGGTGCTTCTGGTTACAATCAGGCTCCTCGCAATAATGGTGGTGGACGTTCCAATCAGCATGGTGGTAGTAGGCGATATGGTCAGCGTCGTGCTGTGCAGCAACAACGCCATGGTATTCTTGAACCAGCCCCTGTCAACCGTGGGCCTCTGTGTTGGGCCTGCAACCATATTGGTGCATTGTGTCCTCAATCTACTCGGTCAGATGACGATACTTCTTGTGCTTTTGCTGGCATGCATATTGCTTCTCCTCTTATCCAACATGGTATCCGGATACTGATGGTACTCATCATATGACGAGTGATGCTCGCTCGATGACTTAGGCTACTGAGTTAAAGACGCGTAACAAAGATAAATGAGACTAGGGGAACTAGCTTAGACTAGAGCCCTCGCTAACTATTGAGTTATCCTTGAAAGTGAAAAACAATTCATTGATGTGGAAATTGCTCGAGGCAAAGTACCACATATATAGGTTTATCAAACGTGATATTTTTTTATCAAACATTCGAAGTTCATTGTTACCCATTATCAGTAACTAATGCAGCATTACCAACGCTCTTTAGGTCTCACAAAGCTATATATTACAAATTAATAATCACAATATAGATATCAAGCTTACACCCTTCATTCCACAATGAAAACTCTTCGTGGAATAGACAAAATAAAAGCAAAAGACAAACACAATCACAACTAACAAACAAAGAAGCAGAAATCGAGAATCGAATAGAGATCCTCTTTATTTAGACGACCAATTACCTCCAAATTAAAGGTTTCTTAGATGGGGATAATCAAGTAGAACTGATGGGTTCAACTACTAATGTAGATTTGGGGGTTGGAACCCAAACAACATGATCACTAGGAAGGAAGTGGCAGATGGGAATGGTTCCGGGCTTAACCTTGAGCACTTGGAAGGCCAAATGCTGTGGGTCCCATTCCGATGTGTCCACATGGCAGATTGCTACTGCTTTAGCCTTCACCCCATCAGAACTTCTCAGGGGCACCACGTAAGCTCTTGTAGGTTTTGTTGCATGGCAGTAAAACACTGCGTACGGATAATTCTGCTTATGGCACACAACGGCTTTGTCACCTGCAAGCTTCTTCACAGAAATTATGGACATGGTTCCTCCTTTCTCCAACACCGCCGTCGAGAATGCCTGAACGTTTCTTCCGAGCTTTGAAGTGGTGAAATCAATCATTGATTCTAACGAGGTGGCACAATATTTTTCCTCTCCTCTTATGCCTGCAGCTTCGCACTCTTCAATAGTTTGCTTAATTATACTGGCTTCCACAGATTCTGATTTCACTGAAAATTGGTTGAAAATTTCAGGTAATTCGTTCGACGAGAAGGGGATCAACTCTGCTGTTTTGCGCGGTAGGAAATTCGCCGTATTCGAATTTCTAGTGAAGTTCAAGTTCATTGTTGTCCCAGGACGCATGTCCTTCTCCAAGAAGAATAGAGTTGCCTGTGGGTTGTCATCTTTATGGAGTTGATTCTCATGAGTGGCATGTGCATGATGACCAGGGTAAAAAAATGCGTTTCCATCTTGTGCAACTCCAACATATGCAGGTTTCGTCCCATCTTTTCCAACAAGATCGACATTTGTGCCTCCATTAGTGGCATGTGCATGATGACCAGGGTAAAAAAATGCGTTTCCTTCTTGAGCAACTCCAACATATGCAGGTTTCGTCCCATCTTTTCCAACAAGATCGACATTTGTGCCTCCATGAGTGGCATGTGCATGATGACCAGGGTAAAAAAATGCGTTTCCATCTTGTGCAACTCCAACATATGCAGGTTTCGTCCCATCTTTTCCAACAAGATCGACATTTGTGCCTCCATTAGTGGCATGTGCATGATGACCAGGGTAAAAAAATGCGTTTCCTTCTTGAGCAACTCCAACATATGCAGGTTTCGTCCCATCTTTTCCAACAAGATCGACATTTGTGCCTCCATGAGTGGCATGTGCATGATGACCAGGGTAAAAAAATGCGTTTCCATCTTGTGCAACTCCAACATATGCAGGTTTCGTCCCATCTTTTCCAACAAGATCGACATTTGTGCCTCCATTAGTGGCATGTGCATGATGACCAGGGTAAAAAAATGCGTTTCCTTCTTGAGCAACTCCAACATATGCAGGTTTCGTCCCATCTTTTCCAACAAGATCGACATTTGTGCCTCCATGAGTGGCATGTGCATGATGACCAGGGTAAAAAAATGCGTTTCCATCTTGTGCAACTCCAACATATGCAGGTTTCGTCCCATCTTTTCCAACAAGATCGACATTTGTGCCTCCATGAGTGTCATGTGCATGATGACCAGGGTAAGAAAATACGTTTCCTTCTTGTGCTACTCCAACATATGCAGGTTTCGTCCCGTCTTTTCCAACAAGATCGACATTTGTGCCTCCATGAGTGTCATGTGCATGATGACCAAGGTAAGAAAATACGTTTCCTTCTTGAGCAACTCCAACATATGCAGGTTTCGTCCCATCTTTTCCAACAAGATCGACATTTGTGCCTCCATGAGTGTCATGTGCATGATGACCAGGGTAAGAAAATACGTTTCCTTCTTGAGCTACTCCAACATATGCAGGTTTCGTCCCGTCTTTCCCAACAAGATCGACATTTGTGCCTCCAGCAGGTCTAGGGTTTTCTTCTCCTGCAATGAGGTCGAAACCAGTGCCCTTCCCTAGTTCGACAGGGATTCTCATATCTTCTTTAATCATGAAGTCTGCGAATTAGTTTAGCAACAACGTAAAAAATGAGAGTGATATTCACAATAGTTTAATGCCCGCATTAAATTATTTTAAGAGTGATTAATTCAACACTCTAAATAATCGATCATGTCAAATGATTTAATCAAAATGAAGAAACTGGGAGGAACAGATATAAATTTCAACCATTGATTGATCACGTTGATTCTTGCACATGTATTGCCTCTAAGAATTTGTGTTGCAATATATATGCGGTGGTTCTTAAGATTGGTTGTAAGGGATCAAATTGGTTGCTCGACCACTCGAGTTATGATTTGTTTCAAATCCCGAGTAAAGAATTCTTCATATATACAAATGGCAGATCGGATATCATTTACTTATGGGAGTTATAACGAAACATTTCTGGTACTGTTCATTTTTAAAGAAAATGACATTTTTACTTAAAAAATTATTCCTGATACTATTAACTTATAATACATTTTTATCATTTTGATTAAAACTCAAAATTTTCAAAACATTTTCAATAATTTTCCTTTTATCCATTTGATTCTTGTTGTTGACTACTTCCATGTTTGCTGGAAACATTTTGTTCGTCTTGCTTTATTCCATTTTGTTTACAATATAGTTTCCGATTTGACTGATTATTTTTATATGGATAAATCTTTAAAAGGAAAACTAATGAAAAGGATTTGAAAATTTTGAGTTTTAACGATAAGGACAAAATAAATGGTAAAATGAATAGTATCAGATTTGATTTTTTAGTGTAAAAATATAATTTTTCGTTAAAGTGAATACTACCGTGAGTTTTTCGTTAAAACTTCGATCTTTATATCATATGAAAGACCAAGAATAAACGACCTGGCTTATGACCACATGTTGACACGCGTCTTTTGATGTGAAAGCTCCCTATGTATTTAAATATAGTAAATGCATATAAATAGTGAATTGCTATTAAGATTTCAAAAATTCATTCGACATTTTTTATAAATATATATATTTTTTAAATATAGAAAGTTTAAAGTATAAAATGAAAATTTTGAAGTACCAATTATTATTCCCTATAAACATTTGTAATATTGGCTGTTTATACTCGTTTGGAATTGCTTTTAAAAAGACTAAAAGTGTTTTTAAAGAAACGGTTGTAGATTCCAAAAACAACTAATGATGCTTGTGTTTTTTTTTTTTTAGAAAACACTTCAAGTGCTTTTACTAGGATTACTTGCATTTTTATTAAAGGTAAAGTTAGAGAGATCAAATTTGTAGACCAAATTTGCAAACTAAATTATGTGTTACCAATAAGAAATAAGAACGTTAATCAACACTTAAATAATAATCTAACTATTAACTTACATGTCATTTTCTTTATAAAATTTAGTCTATACATTTAATCTCACTGGCATTATCGTTTTATTAAAAATTGGTTCCAAAAACATTTTCATAAAAAAAAACTTTCAATCATTTAAAAGTAATTTCAAATGAACTTTTAGTTAGTACGTATTAGTGAGTCCTTTGGGTAAATATTTTGATGTATTTCAGTAAGAACTTCTGTAATTAGTTGGTTGATATCGATTTTTCCGGTAACTTTAGCAAAACCAGACCAACTTTTTTTTGGTGAACAACCAGAGCAATTTTCGGCCTGGTATTTAGTTCGGTTTTTCTGTACCTAGTGGCGGCATACTCCAGCCCCTCCTTCAAAATTATATTTGCCAAAAGATCAAACAACTTTTAACATGAAATCCTATCATCGATATTATGGTAGATAGAAGAAAAGCTCTCTAAAATTATGTCGTTAATACAAACCAGGTTGGAGTAGTTGACTGATAGCTTTTGGCATTTGTGTGTTTGGCAAGACCGAGTTCCAGTAGAGTTCATGAGGTAATGGTGGATGAGCATCTTGGCTTGCCAGTGCCACCACCACTGCCATCTGCAACATTTTCACTCTAGTGATTAATTAGTACGTACGAATGAGATCAGAACAATGTGAACTAAATTTAATTAGTTAAAGCAGGGATAATTAAACCAACGTAGCAACAAACTGTTCCATATACATGTAGACAAGAGTGACATATATATATATATATATGTATGTATATGTATACATTTGCGCTTTAAATCGAATATTGTATAATTTTTTCTAGACGCACAGTAAAATATGAGTATTAAAATCACTGATTTATTGTAAAAACTCAAATCTGAAGGCTTACTTTGAGAAGAGAGAAGAAGAGTGCGAGATGAAATGCCATTAGGACTGAAATTGAAAGTGTATATGAAAACTTGAGAACTTAGATCTCATGTATGGTGCGACACAAGAGCAAGTGACTTCAACATTTATAGAGGAACTTGTATCTGTATGAACATAATTTCATGGTTAAAAAATTTTAACATGGGAGATGATAACCACAAAATATTTATTCAAGTAATCGATAAGGTGTGGGCTATAGTGTACCATATTAATTGCATTGATAGTACCCTATTTTGACTTTAGTCAAGCATGTTATCAACAGTGTTTATATTTTTCGAATGTGATATCCACACATCTTATTTTACTTCTCACACATCTTTTTAATTTTCGGTCGTCGGATCAGATAAATTGAAGAAAATCAACGGACAGAAATTATCAAAGGGTGTATGAGAAGTAAAATATGGTATGTGGATAGCACATCCCATATTTTTATACAAAAAAACCTCAATGCAATTAGAAACATGAACAATTTGATATAAGTTGTGATTTATTTTGTGTGCGATGATTTTACTTTATTCAACACTAAACACTTATCTTTATTTCTATCTTTATGTATCACAATCATATTGAATAAGTCAAATAAAAAGCATAAATCAAAAGAAAATAACAGACATGTTTAAACAAAAATGTGTACGAATAGAAAAACTCAAAAAAGATGTTTGGTTATGATTTTCCTTTCAAAAGTGAAAACAGTCCACCCACCAAGTTTAATTATTTCCCACTATTCGATGCTCACTCACTTTCACTTGAACTAGCCTTCATGCACGCACGAGAATGTATTTTTTTAATCACAGCATATTACGCACAATTTACACGTTTTAAATGTATGTATATGTGTAAATTGACAAGGGGAAAGTCAAATATTTTAAGTAAATGAATAATCTTAGATCATGCTAAAAGAAACCCCTCATAAATCAATTAAAATAGCTGAATTCACATAATAAAATCGGTCTCTATAGAATTTACAATAAGAATAGAGAAAATAATATTTAGTGAACAATTGATTGAATTACATTATTGCTAGCCCATTATGAGGCTAAGCCCACCTCATTCCATGTAGTGTAGATAATATCGTTTGTTTAAAAAAAAAAATCATTTGACAATTAATTTAATCACATTATTATCCGTGTCCGAAAGACCTTTTTTTTTATAACCGGCATTACATGCCTCTTAAGATATTTTGAACGTGTTTAACCATAGTAAAAAACAAATTGAATGAACAACTGATTGAATCACATTATTGCTAGCCTATTCTAAGGTTAAGCCCACCCCCTTCCCTTTAGTGTAGATAATATCGTTTGTTAATAAATAAATAAACAATCATTTGACAACTAATTTAATCACATTATTATTAGCATGCGAAATACTTTTTTTTATAACATGTATTATATGCCTCTTAAAATGCTTTGAACGTGTTTAAAAATAGAGAAATTGAATCATATTATTGCTAGCATATTGGAAGGTACTAATTAAAAAAAAAAAAAGCAAAAAAATTAACTATTAAAAAAGCACTATTAAAATGAAAAAAATACCACTGCCTTATTTGATGCATTATTTTGAGATGTTTTGAAAGTTTTTTGTCTTGGGGGCATTTTTGTCCAATTGTTTTGTTGAAGCTTGGTGATAGCAAAAACACTATTCACCTTTAGTATTGGCTTTATATATAGATAAGAAGTTTGGCAAAATATTCGAACTTCGGATGTCTTCTAATTTTTTCCTCTGACATTTATGCATTTCATTGTCACAATACAAATAAAATTATTGTGTTGTTTTGGTTCTTCTGTAGTAACTTGTTAGTTTCGTGAGACAATTAAAAATTAGCATAAATTATGAGTTTGATTGACATTAAAATAGGCCAGCATACCATAATTACGAACAAACATCAAACAATCAAAGTTAGAACCTGAAAGTTAATATTCTATACACAGCAGATGGGTATTGTTCATTAACGGTGCCCCACCCAATTTTGTTCCTCGCTGCTGAGCAATTTTTTACCCTTTTCTGGAATTGTGCAGTGAGTTGGCCATTTTGCCCCTTCTGCTTTCCGGTGCCGTTCTCCATCATCTGCGGTTCTTTGCTTTTCAAAACCCAAGCACATTTTTTAATCATTTTTTCCCTAGAACAATTATTTTTATAATTTTTGTCCTTTTTTGCGCCACAAACTATGTGGCTGGATTTAACTCCTGACAGCTATAATAATTTGTTTTGTCCTGCAGTCTATTTGTTTATCATTTTTTGTCCAAAAACCAATGTGTTTATCCACGGGGTAAAACAATTGGTGATTGTTTTGTTTATTATATATATAATTGCTTTTCTCATTAACTCTCTCAACTATTGCAACTTCTCTCTCTCTCTGAAAGTGGGTTTTCTTTTTAAAGTTTTAATGAAAAATCCACGTTTATTTTGACGAAAATCATATTTTTACATTAAAAAGTCAATCCTGGTACTATTCATTTTACCCTTTATTTTGTCCTTATCATTAAAATTCAAAATTTTCAAATCTTTTTTATTAGTTTTCTTTTTTCTTTTTTGTGCATGTTATTATTTTATTTCTCTCTCAATGTTTTCTTATATCTACCTGTGCATCATCCGTTCTTCCTCCTCCGATCACTCTCATGTCCAGTAATTAAAGCCTTTCTGGTTGCTTTTGGTTTACATTATGTCACGTGTTGATTATCCCCTTCCATTTCTATAAAGAGTCAAAAGAAAAGGAACTCGGATTGTCTGCTCTCCTCATCTCATATCCTTTCCATCTTCTCTTATTTTTGTGATTACAATTAAGTCATGTCAACATTTTATATTAATTTTTTTATAAAAAAATAAGACAAAAAATAATAGGAATATAAAATGTTAATATGACTTAATCGTGATCATAAAAATAGTAGGGAATGGGAAGAGGATGCCATTCCATTGCCTAGTGGTAGCAACGAAGGCCCATTCCTCGAAAAATAGATAATAAATGCGAAGTGACAGAAATATATATATATATATATATATGTATATATATGTCTATGGATATTGGTGATGCTGGAAGCATATTTTGGTTGCTTTTGGCTTACATTATGCCACGTCTTGATGATCCCCTTCCTTTTGAGAGAGAGATAGAGGAAATGGGGGATACCATTGCCATTATAATTGCCCGGTAGTTACACAGGCCCATTTCTTGAAATGAGATAATAAATGCGAAGTTGCAGAAATATATATATATATATATATATATATATATATATATTGGGATAAGGATTTCCTATCCTCTTATTTTTGGTACTCTTCTGAGAGAGAGATAGAGGAAATGGGGGATGCCATTGCCATTATAACTGCCTGGTAGTTAAACAGGCCCATTCCTTGAAAATGAGATAATAAATGCGAAGTTGCAGAAATATATATATATATATATATATGTATATATATAGTATATATATTAGGACAAAGATTATCTGTCCTTCTACTTTTGGTGCTCTTCTATACCTTTTTATTTGTGTGGATTATCTGTCCTTCTACTTTTGGTGCTCTTCTATACCTTTTTATTTGTGTGGTCACAATTAAGTCACGTCAACATTTTATATTAATATTCATTTTTTTTCTTATTATCTATATGAAAAAACAATATAAAATGTTGACGTGATTTAATTATGACAACACAAAATAGGAAAGCATTGAAAGTGGGAGGGCAGACAATTCTTGTCCTATATATTGGGCAGGACAGAAAAGATTGTCCAATCTGTGTGAGAGGTCATGATGCGAAGTGGGAGAAAAAGGGTAAATATACATATATATATATATATATATATATGTATATGTATGTATGTATATTGGGCAGGGCATACCCCGTGTTGATCATCCCTTGCATTTGGCTTTTCAACTCGTCTCTCTTATTTTTTTGGGTAAATCTCAGTTTACTACTCTCATATTTTGTGATTTTCAACATTTAGTACATCAAGTTTTTTTTATTCCAGAGTCATACCTAAAGTGTAAATTTTGGGACAATCTCATACATTCGTTAATCAAACTATTAAATCTCCCGTTAACTGATGACGTGATGTCTATGTGAACAATGACTGGGCGCCACTTAAACCTATGGTTGGTGAAATTTAAACTTGGCAACAAGATAACTTTTTCATTATGTACATACCAAATAGTAATAAACTAGAAGAAAAGATAGGATCCAATTCCTATTAATTCTCAATTCTTTGATCAGAATTCCTCATAATCTCAGTTTCTCAATTCCTTACGGTTTAGAACACCCATGCCAAAAACACTAGCTTCACTCATAGTAATAGACCTTATCTTTTATGTTTAGCATAAAATAGATAATGATGCATGATAATGGATTACAAATTATTTTTTATTTATTCAAATTTGGTTTTTACTCTTTCATCCTACGTATGACTCCATTTTTTCATCCATGTCAACTAATTATTGCATATTATTTATTAATTGCTATAAAACGTTTTTTTTTTTTAACACTTTGTTTTATAATTTTAGGAAACAAAAAAAAATTGCTAACTCAGCAACGAACTTACAACGTTGACAAATACGTTTTCAAGCAATGACGACACGAACATTCAAAGGTATGTAAAATTAATTATTACTTTATTAATTTTGTTTTATTGACATTTTAAATTTAATTTCAATTTTTACTAAGCTTTCTCTTTAGGGGAATTAGATATTACTCATATATATACACACAAACTATATTCTTTTCACATGATCTAAATACATGACAAATCACCTGCTTGCATATTGAAAGGTTAGATTGAATATCCAAAAGTATAAAAGTAGACATTTCCATAAGAGATATACCCTCTCCATATATTTTAGTCTAATATGTTCTTTCACAGATTTAGAAAATATGGACAGAACATATCTTTAGTGGAACGATGCCTTTTTATACTTTTGAACATTGGCCTTAAACCCTTCACTAGACAACCAAATAATTAGCCATGTATTCACAATAAGTTAGCAGAAGAAAGTATGTGTATAAATTGGTAATAGTTAATTCCTCTTAAGAGAAAAGATGGAAATGATGATTCTTACTCTAGATAATCAAAACTGAGTTTATCAATTTACATAAATTTGATCCGTCTTAGAATGGCATTTAATTATGTTTTAAAAATTATATT